CTGCGCCCCGCGCTGGCCCGCCGGGCGGGCGCTGCCTCGACTGCTGCTTCGCCGAGCAACGCGGCGGGCACTGGCGGGGCATCGTTGCGCAGCGCGCCGGGGCGCACCTTCCCGACCCGGACGGGCGTGCGTGGGGCGATCACCGCCGCGCGCGCCGCGTCGCTGAGCCGCGCGACGGGCGCCGGCACCTCGACGCTGAGCAGGGCGGCGGGGGGCAGCGGCCCGACCGCGACGCCCGTGCGCGCGGCGCATGCTGTCTCAACCACCGCGTTGTTGCGCACCACTTCGGGCACCGGCAGTGCAGCGTTGCGCGGTGCGTCAGGGGGCGCCAGCTCCACCTCGACGTCCACGAGCGGGGCGGGCCCTGCCTCGTGCACAGCGTGGCTGAGCACCTCCCAGGGAAACAACGCTCCAACATCGATGGGGCGTGCCAGCCAACACTAGCTCGAATCTGACGTCCGCGAGGGGGGGCGCGCAGGACCTTTGGCATCGCGTCGCTAGCCATCCTGACGAGTGCAAGCAGACCTTTGTGGAGCAGCGCGTCCAAGAGCAGCGGCTCGACGCTGAACCAGAGTGGAGTGAGTACTCCCCTAGGTACCCGCATTTCGACGTCGAACAGCACTTCGCTGACCACCGCGACGGGCACCAACAACGCATCGCTGAACAGCGCGCCCGGGAATTCCAGCGCCCCGTCGTGCACCGACGCGGCCTGGACTGCCGCGAATACCGCGCCGTGGAGCCGCGCGACGGGCACTGGCACCTTGACGTTGGGCGCCACGTCGGGGGGCATCAGCTCCACCTCCGAGCCCAAGAGCGGGACGAACACTGCGTCGAGTACCCTGTCGACCTACGCGGCAGGCACCAGCTGCGCATCGGTGAGAAGCACGACTGGGAGCAACAGGAGCTCGCCTTGACGACCATGAGTGCTACGTTTCCCGCCTCGAGTTCTGGCCCGACTCCTATTAAGTCCATGGCCCAGTATTTCCGCGATCCGCATTGTTCCACTGGGGGTGGGATGCGAGCCTCTCCCCATGTCCACGAGCCGCATTGGCCCACTGGGGGGTGGGAGGCGCGCTCCGACCAGCACTACGGGGAGCACCTGTTCGACCCTGACGTGCGCAAAGCTCAGACCGCCTGGACCGCCTTCTTCAGGGCCGATCGCCCAGGGGCGTCTCCCCAGGCGAACGAACAGACACGTCTAATTGCTCACCAATGGTACACCATTGCTACCTTCACTTCTGAAACGTTGCGCGAACTTTTGGCCACTTTTCCGTAATCCTCGCTTTTCTTTGGGCCGCTGCAGGGGACACCCCAAAACGGCGCCGCACTTCTGCGGGTGCCGGGGCGCGCATGCGAACGCGTGCTAGAATCCGGTGCTTCTCTTTGCACGGTGGCGCAGAAGGGCCCTTGAATGGTCTGACCACCGCCGTCCGACACCTTTTCCCTTCGGGGACCCAGTAGTCCGCGCCAGGAGGGGGGTCATCCAACCACCCCTGTTTCGTTTGCGGCGCCTCTGGCTTTGCGGGGATGGTCAGCTGGGCACATGCGGCCTGGCGGCCAAGATGACTTCGTCGTCCGAAGTGGTGCGATCTCCACTCTTCTCCACTTATGAATTCGACGGTTATTGGGACGTTATTGGAATAGTCACAGGGAACCATGTGGATAGCAGAGGGAACCTTGCGCAACAGAGGGGATTAGCAGAGGAATCTATGCGCAACATATGAAACGATACGTAACAGAAAACGCGTGTAGGGCCAACGTAGGAAACCAAGCGGATAGCAGAGGAAACAATGCGCAACATAGGTCGTGTGTAGGGGCAACATAAGGGGTCAGTTGACCTTTTTTTCTCTGCGCCACTGAACCAGGACTCCTAGGTAGGCAAGCCTGTTTTGAGAAAAGACACATCGTCGCATGTCTGGGTTCCCTGCTGCGTCGGGCGCAGCCTAACCGACCGCCTGCCCCTGTCTTGGAGAGAGGCGAGTGGGTCTGCTAGGGGTCGGTCAAGCCACCCTTGACTGCGGATTCACGTCGTGGAGACGTCGGCGCTGGTTTCTGGCACCGCGTGGATCGCTGTCTCCAGCGATCACGGCTCTCCGATAATCGCAGGTCGTTCGATACCGGCCGATTCTGGGCCACTGGCAACGATTTCACATGAACGCCCGCGTGGGGGTCGCCGCCGCGACGACGCTGTGTGAACCTGCCGTAACCCCTGGGGAGCCCATCGTACCGACGATCTCTTGACAGGGTCGTCGAACCAGATAGGCCGTCCAAGGGGGAGTCAATAATCCCAACTCCCCCAATTGTGGCTGGTCTGCCTCCGTGTCGGCGTTCTCCAGGGGCCCAGGAGGTGGCGCGCTGGTCGCGTAGAACGCGTGCACGGCGATCGGTCGGAGGTTGCAGGAGGCGACCTTGGCCCAAGGTGCCCCCAACTCTTCGGGCGATTCTGGAGCCCCTGGGGCCTTCTTGTCCCTTGGTTTCGCGAGGGGTGCCCTGGAGGTCACCTGTGCCTGCCTGGAAACATTCCACCCGCCCTCTGGGCGTGAGTGGTTTAGAGCGCTTCCTCGTCCGACCCCCCTTCGCCCCCTTCGGGGAAAAGGTTCATCACTGCTCCCTATGAATAAACACCCCCTCCCCCAGGCGACCAGCAGCCAACCAGGACCAACGCGACACCCCCCCATCCCTGTCAACAAACGATACGGAGCACGCTTTGGGGCAAAACCTCGGGTCATGCTCGTGGGCCCCGCGAACACTTTGCATTGTTTTTTGACCGTGGCGGCGGGGGTGCCCTCATATTGCCTGCTTTGCGCAAGGCCACCATGCCTGTTAACAAAATCAATGCAACATGCACTTCGCGGTTGAATCTGGATCATGCGCAGCCACCCCGCGATCCCAGTCCATTGGCAGGACCGCGGAGGTGCTGGTATACTGCCTGCTGTGGGCAGGCCCACCAGGCACCATGATGGCCTCCGCGCCGCGATTGCGCACTGGTTTTCGGCAAGGCTGGTCGGGGCCGACATGTTTCCCGATGTGCGCTGCCACGTGCGCGGGCGCACCTGGTACACTCTGCGCGTGCCCCAGACGTGGCGCACCTGGAGCGGCTGGATCATGCGGCACACATGGCGTACGTGGCGCATCTGGCGCGCGAGGCGTGCCTGGCACGCTTGGACCCCTGGGGTGCCTGACGCACCTGGAGCGCCTGGCACGTGTGGCGCACCTCGCCCCATCGCGCACATGGGGTCTGTATTGGTTCCCCATAGCTGCCCATCAATAGATGACCGCTGAACATGCTGAGGCCGGGGTGCTACTTATGTGTTGGGCGGGCGGGTGGGGGTGAGCGAGACGGCTTGCGGACGGGGAGGGTGTCTTGACCCCCCGCTACCTCCCTTCCCCCGGGTTTGAAGAGGGGGTTTCGCGAGACGTTGGAGCGTATTTGTTAGCCTCGGCGCGGAAACCAACATCATTGATTTTACGCAGGTTTCGTTTACATTTTTGCCCTCCGCGGGGTCCCTGATGGGGGAGCTCCCCTTCTTTGATTGATCTCCTGGAAGGTGGCCCAAAGCTGGCCCCCAAGGCTCCCAAGGGTGCCCCAAGATGGCCCCAAGAGATGCCTAGGAGGCTCCAGCAAGAGCCCCCGAAGAGGCCCTCAAGATACCAAGAGGCTCCCAAGAGACCCCCCCCGACGCCCCCAGAGGCCCCCCAGAGGCACCCGAGACGCCCCAAGAGGCCTCGGCGAGAATACCAGAATCATTAAACTTACAAAGGTTTCGGCTACATTTTGCCTTCCCCGGGGGGAACCCTGATTAAGGAGCCCGCCTTCTTTGATCGATCTCCTCCAAGATGGCCCCCAAGGCTCCCAAGGGTGCCCCAGGAGGGCCTCAAGAGGTGCCCAGGATGCCCCAGAGGCCCCAAGAGGCTCCCCAAAGACCCCCAAGAGACCCCCCAGGGGCACCCCAGACGCTCCAAGAGGCCTCGGCGAGAAGGCCAAAGTCATTAATGCTACCGAAGCGTTTTGGCCTCTTGGGGGGGGGACCCTAAGTAACCCTCCTTTCATCTATCTCTCCCAAGATGGCCCCAAGATGGCCCCCGAGGCTCCCAAGGGTGCGCCAAGACGGCCCCTAAGAGGTGCCCAGGATGCCCCAAGAGGCCCCCAACCCCCAAGAGGCTCCCAAGAGACCTAAAAGAGGCTCCAAGAGGCCCCCCAGAGGCACCCAAGACGCCCTAAGCGTCCTCCAGGACTCCGAGAGGCATCCAAGAGGCCTCTGGCCTTGCTGCTCGCCCTCCTCCCCTTCCTCCTCCTCCGATTTCTCCTTCATCCTCCTCTTGGGGTACGACGTCTTACCCAACCCTTTATTCCACTGCATTCTACTCCGCATCCCTGATAGGGCAACTCGTCTGGGCATCGTTTCTGGATGGGCTGGTGGGGTTATGCGAAGCGTCTACAATTGTGGTCAACTTGGGCCAAAACCACCCCTGGCAACACCCGCATGGGCACTTTGTCCGGCACGACTATGTGTGCCGGCGGTACGTTCAGCAGATGCACCTCGTCGGAATCAATCCCGCAAAGATCGGTCACCACGTCAAGCGCCGCCTCCCGGCTGGGCCGGCCAAGGCTGGTCGGGAGCCACGGTATCCTCATCCCCTCCCACTCGCCCGTCAGAGATCGTGTCAGGACACAGCGGTTGCCACGCAGGATCAGTGCCCCAGCGCAGCATTCGTGCTCGTCGCCCCCGAGCTCCTCTGGAGTACCGAGGAAGCACATAAGCATGAACTTTCGAAGTTCCACGTGGATTTCTGGGGTCGGCGCTGGACATCACTCCCCCAACCCCTTCCCTGGCGTGCGAAGCGCGCCAAGGACGGCGCCAGAGGCGCCGCCATGGGTTTGGAGGGAAGTCCAGCGCAGACCCAAAAATCCGCGTGGATCCTGGACAATTACTGTCTATGCCGTTCTTTGGCTCGTCCTCTTCCTCCTCGTCCTCGCCGTCGCGCTCGCCGCCGCTATCCTCGGCGTGGCCGTGCGCGGAGGAGCTCGGGCCTGACGCCAGCAAGTCCTCTGGGGGAACCAAAAAATACTGGTACCGCTGCTCCCCAAACCTTTCCTGGGGTGCATTCTGCTTAGCATTTCAAAGCAAATCCAGCCGTCGCGACGAGGGACGAATACCGGTGTTGGTACACTAAAAGCATGGCCACACGAACGTTCGTCAAGAGCATGAACCGCTGCGCCGAAGTCCCAGGGTCCCATAGCTAGGGGTTATAGTTGAGCCCTCGTGCCAACTGTGCCTGTCGAAAATGGCACAGCTGCGCTGACATCAGATGCTCGGAGGTCGGCGCGGACCTCCGAGCATCTATGTCTGTGCCGACTTCTCTGCTCCGGGTCTCCTCCTCCTCTGGGGTCCTCCACGCGCACGTCCGCCGAGCACCTGCCGCCGCCCCCGGGGCCCGGGCAGCAGTCGCCCTCGCCGCCGCCCATCGCGGGCTGGCCGGGCGCTGGTCTCGGCCGGCGGGCCGCGGGCCCGGGGCCGAAGCGCGCGGTGGCCTCCGCGGGGCGGCGGCGCCGTGCGCTGCGCCCTGTGGCGGTGGTGGCCGTTGTCACGGTCGTCGTGGCGGGAGTCGTCGTCGCCGGGGGATGGGCAGGTAGGTAGGGGGTGGGGGAGGGGAGCATGGGGGTGCGGAGGGGGGTGGTGGGAAGGGGGGTAGAAGGGGGGCGGAAGGGCAGGGGAGGGGAGGGGCAAGGAGGGGCGGGGGGAAGACGAGGAATACGTGGAAGAGGCGGAGGAGAAGGAGGCGGAGGCGGACACGGGGGGCAGAATGATCAAGAAGATGAGGAGGAGGAGGGGATAACAATACATACGATTACTATTCATCGTGTTAATACGAATGATACGACTACTATGATAGTACTCGTAAGTAATAGTAATGCTAGTACGACTGTTCAGGATACTAGTCAAAATAATAACAATTGTTCTGCTACTACTACAAATACTCGACACAAGAAATCATAGCAATACTTATGATGCTACTCCTACGACCAATATTACTAATACTATAGTGATAGTAGTGGTGATATGGGTAGTAGTAGAAGTAGTAGTAGTAGTAGTAGTAGTAGTAGTAGTAGTAGTAGTAGTAGTCGTAGTAGTAGTCGTAGTATAGTAGTAGTAGTAGTAGTAGTAGTAGTAGTAGTAGTAGTAAAAGTCAGTAGTAGTAGTAGTAGTAGTA